CTAGTTCTGTTATAGTTCTGTCTAGTTCTGTCTAGTTCTGTTCTAGTTCTGTTCTAGTTCTGTTTTCTAGTTCTGTTCTAGTTCTGTTCTAGTTCTGTTCTAGTTCTGTTCTAGTTCGTTCTAGTTCTGTTCTAGTTCTAGTTTAGTTCTGTTCTAGTTCTGTTTTAGTTCTGTTTCTAGTTCTGTTCTAGTTATGTTCTAGTTCTGTTCTAGTTCTGTTCTAGTTCTGTTCTAGTTCTGTTCTAGTTCTGTTCTAGTTCTGTTCTAGTTCTGTTCTAGTTCTGTTCTAGTTCTGTTCTAGTTTGTTCTAGTTCTGTTCTAGTTCTGTTCTAGTTCTGTTTGTTCTAGTCTGTTCTAGTTCTGTTCTAGTTCTGTTCTAGTTCTGTTCTAGTTCTGTTCTAGTTCTGTTCTAGTTCTGTTCGTAGTTCTGTTCTAGTTCTGTTCTGTTCTGTTCTAGTTCTGTTCTAGTTCTGTTCTAGTCTTGTTCTAGTTCTGTCTGTTCTAGTTCTGTTCTAGTTCTGTTCTAGTTCTGTTCTAGTTCTGTTCTAGTTCTGTTCTAGTTCTGTCTAGTTCTGTTCTAGTTCTGTTCTAGTTCCTGTTCTAGTTCTGTTCTAGTTCTGTTCTAGTTGTCTAGTTCTGTTCTGTTCTGTTATGTTCTGTTCTAGTTCTGTTCTGTCTGTTTCTGTTCTAGTTCTGTTCTGTTCTCGTTCTGTTCTGTTCTGTTCTAGTTCTAGTTCTAGTTCTGTTCTAGTTCTAGTTCTGTTCTAGTTCTGTTCTAGTTCTGTTCTAGTTCTGTTCTAGTTCTGTTCTAGTTCTGTTCTAGTTCTGTTCTAGTTCTGTCTAGTTCTGTTCTAGTTCTGTTCTAGTTTGTTCTAGTTCTGTTTAGTTCTGTTCTAGTTGTGTTCTAGTTCTAGTTCTGTTCTAGTTCTGTTCTAGTTCTGTTCTAGTTCTGTTTTAGTTCTGTTCTGTTCTAGTTCTGTTCTAGTTCTGTTCTAGTTCTGCTCTAGTTCTGTTCTAGTTCTGTTCTAGTTCTGTTCTAGTTTTGTTCTAGTTCTGTTCTAGTTCTTTTCTAGTTCTGTTCTAGTTCTGTTCTAGTTCTGTTCTAGTTCTGTTCTAGTTCTGTTCTAGTTCTGTTCTAGTTCTGTTCTAGTTCTGTTCTAGTTCTGTTCTAGTTCTGTTCTAGTTCTGTTCTAGTTCTGTTCTAGTTCTGTTCTAGTTCTGTTCTAGTTCTGTTCTAGTTCTGTTCTAGTTCTGTTCTAGTTCTGTTCTATCTCAGTTTTAGTTTAAATCTAGTGTAGTTCTATAGTATTATTTCTCTACTTTCTAATAAATATTAAAAACTTTCTTATTTTTTTTATAAGAACTTATAGTTATCTATAATTTTTCTATATAAAAAATTTCTATGGAAATCAATTAAAGATAATTGCAGCTTAACTGATTCAAAGTTTGTTCATCTTAAACTACAAAACACTTTAACAAACAATTATCGTTAATTTTCACACGCAACTTGTCTTAAGATTAAAGAATTACACGTCTCAAATTGAACAAATATTCATGAACATTTTTATAATAAAAGTGAAAACAAATTTACACATATTACATTAAAAATAAAGAAATGCTAAAAGCAAAAGAAAGAGAAAAAGGTCGGGTCAATAAAATACTTCCGTTAAAATTTCAAATCAAAAATGTAAAAAAATGATCGATAAGAAAAAATCTCATTAAAGAGGAAAAAATTATTTCTTTAAATTGATTTTGCTTTAAAAAAATCATCAAGAAGAAAGTGTTAGAAAGAATACAATAGAAATAAAACACAGGTTGATTAGATGATAAAAATAGAAATTTCAAAAGAATAAAAAAAGTATTTCTAATGCAATAAAACAGCAGCAAAAACAACAACAACAACAGAGGCAGTGGCAGCATCTAACATCAATTAGTGGAAACATCTTAATAAAAAGTGCATTAACCGCTTGGCTGGGCATGAGTATACAAAAAAACAAACACATACACACACGCTCTCAAACATATTTATAAACAACAACTTTATTTATAAATCATTAAACTAAATTATACACACAAAAAAATAAGAATTTCGATTCATCTGCTTTTTCTGTCTGTGTATACTCAATGTTAAATCTCTTTATTTACTCTATCTAACACTCTCATATATTTAACGCAAACATACAAAAAAAAAAAACAGTTGGTCTCTCAAAGGACTTTTTTCAAGGCGGCATTTCTAATTTTTACGCAAAATTATTATTTTGTATTATCCTTCAAAAGTTGGCAAAAGCAAAGCAGAGAAAAACAACAACAAAGTTGTTTATATTAAAATACAACAACAATTATTTACAAATGAGCAGAAAGCTTTTTTTCTGCAGAGAATACTTTTACAGGTTTCTTTTATTCAGTGATAGCAAAGCTCTTGGGTGGTTGTGGGAGCTAGCATGGGAGAGATCACATCTGTTTTTTTAATATAGTGAACGTGAGAGTAAGAGAGAGTAACACTCACGGAGTCGGCGCTTTGCTAGGCTTTTAAGTGGTTGCATTTAGAAAGCTCTTTGGATTACTTTAGCAGGGTAGAAATAACAAAGTATTAAAACACACGGTTGGATAAAGAAGGCAATTTAAAATAAGTACATTTTACAATTATTAAATAAAATTTAAATTTTTCATTAATTAATAGTTCAGTTCTAGTTCTGTTCTAGTTCTGTTCTAGTTCTGCTCTAGTTCAGTTCTAGTTCTGTTCTATTCCTGTTCTAGTTCTGTTTTAGTTCTGTTCTAGTTCTGTTTTAGTTCTGTTCTGTTCTAGTTCTGTTCTAGTTCTGTTCTAGTTCTGTTCTAGTTCTGTTCTAGTTCTGTTCTAGTTCTGTTCTAGTTCTGTTCTAGTTCTGTTCTAGTTCTGTTCTTGTTCTGTTCTAGTTCTGTTCTAGTTCTGTTAGTTCTAGTTCTGTTCTAGTTCTGTTCTAGTTCAGTTCTAGTTCAGTTCTAGTTAAGTTCTAGTTGAGTTCTAGTTCAGTTCTAGTGCAGTTCTAGTTCTGTTTTAGTTCTGTTCTAGTTATGTTCTAGTTCTGTTCTAGTTCTTTTCTAGTTCTGTTCTAGTTCTGTTTTAGCTCTGTTCTGTTTTAGTTCTGTTCTAGTTTCGTTCTGTTCTTTTCTAGTTTCGTTCTGTTCTGTTCTAGTTCTTTTCTAGTTCTGTTCTAGTTCTGTTCTAGTTCAGTTCTAGTTCAGTTCTAGTTGAGTTCTAGTTGAGTTCTAGTTCAGTTCTAGTGCAGTTCTAGTTCTGTTCTAGTTCTGTTCTAGTTCTGTTCTAGTTCTGTTCTAGTTCTGTTCTAGTTATGTTCTAGTTCTGTTCTAGTTCTGTTCTAGTTCTGTTCTAGTTCTAATCTAGTTCTGTTCTAGTTCTGTTCTAGTTCTGTTCTAGTTCTGTTCTAGTTCTGTTCTAGTTCTGTTCTAGTTCTGTTCTAGTTCTGTTCTAGTTCTGTTCTAGTTCTGTTCTAGTTCTATTCTAGTTCTGTTCTAGTTCTGTTCTAGTTCTGTTCTAGTTCTGTTCTAGTTCTGTTCTAGTTCTGTTCTAGTTCTGTTCTAGTTCTGTTCTAGTTCTGTTCTAGTTCTGTTCTAGTTCTGTTCTAGTTCTGTTCTAGTTCTGCTCTAGTTCTCTTCTAGTTCTGTTCTAGTTCTGTTCTAGTTCTGTTCTAGTTCTGTTCCAGTTATGTTCTAGTTCTGTTCTAGTTCTGTTCTAGTTCTGTTCTAGTTCTGTTCTAGTTCTGTTCTAGTTGTGTTCTAGTTCTGTTCTAGTTCTGTTCTAGTTCTGTTCTAGTTCTGTTCTAGTTCTGTTCTAGTTCTGTTCTAGTTCTGTTCTAGTTTTAGTCTATAGTCTAGTCTAGTCTATAGTCTAGTCTATAGTCTAGTCTATAGTCTAGTCTTTATTCTAGTCTATATTCTAGTCTATAGTCTAGTCTATAATCTAGTCTATAGTCTAGTCTATATTCTAGTCTATAGTCTAGTCTATATTCTAGTCTATAGTCTTGTCTACAGTCTAGCCTATATTCTAGTCTATAGTCTAGTCTACTGTCTGGCCTATAGTCAAATATATAGTCTATATTCTAGTCTATAGTCTTGTCTACAGTCTAGCCTATATTCTAGTCTATAGTCTAGTCTACTGTCTGGCCTATAGTCTAATATATAGTCCATTCTAGTACATAGTTTAGTCTATAGTCAAGTTTATAGTCTAGTCTATAGTATTTTCTATAGTCTGGTCTATAGTCTATTCTACAGTCCAGTCTAAAGTCTAGTTTATGGTCCAGTCTATGTCTATAGTCTAGTCTATAGTCAAGTCTATAGTATTGTCTATTGTCTAGTCTGTAATCTAGTCTATAGTTTGGTGTATATTCCAGTCTATATTCTAGTCTATTGTCTAGTCTATAGTTTAGTCTTAAAGTCTATAGTCTTGTCTACAGTCTAGCCTATATTCTAGTCTATAGTCTAGTCTACTGTCTGGCCTATGGTCTAATATATAGTCCATTCTAGTGCATAGTTTAGTCTATAGTCAAGTTTATAGTCTAGTCTATAGTATTTTCTATAGTCTGGTCTATAGTCTATTCTATAGTCCAGTCTTAAGTCTAGTTTATGGTCCAGTCTATGTCTATAGTCTAGTCTAGTCTAGTCTATAGTCAAGTCTATAGTATTGTCTATTGTCTAGTCTATAATCTAGACTACAGTCTAGTCTATAGTTTGGTGTATATTCCAGTCTATATTCTAGTCTATTGTCTAGTCTATAGTTTAGTCCATAGTAATATAGTATATTCTATAGTCTAATATATAGTCAAGTATATATTTTAGTCTATATGCTAGTCTATAGTCTATTCTGTAGAAAAAATTTCTACTACTTTTTCATTACAACTCTGTTTAAAAAGCTTTTTCTCAGCAAGTATTTTCCCTTAAAGCTTTTTTGCTTATCTGATTTTCCTCAACTATATTTGCAGCTTTAATGAGCACGTAGCAAATGTATAGAACTCAGTGTCCGTGTGGCATAAACTCGAATAAATTGTGACGTGCACAGTAGAAACGAAAAACTGCGGAATTACTGTGAAAAAAAATTTTTTGCACAAAATAAAAAATAGATAAGATTAATTATAATAAAAAGTAAAAATCTATAAAACCATTAAATTATTAAAAATGTATAAAAAGAGCAGCAGTGAGTGATTTGTTTAATTTATTACAGAAAACAAAGCCATGAATTGCTTAAGAAAAAGAAAATTTTTATTGTGGAAAGAAAAAAAGTGAAGAAGAAAAAATTTTTTTTAAGAAAAAAATTTCAGCTGCGTTGGGAAAAAAAGAAAAACTTGCTGCTGCTCAAGTGTTTAAAAAAGCGAAAAAAAACGGGAACGGGGAAAATAAAAGGAATTATGTATGTATTTAAAATAAAATTAAAAATGAAAAAAAAAAAAATTAATAAAAATTGTAATCAAAAACGTATAAAAAATTTGCCAAAATAATTAAAAAGAAATTTTAAATAATAAAAATTTAAAATAATTAAATATCAGTTTTAAAAGTGCTATAAAAATTATTTTTAAATTTGCAAAAAAAAAAATCAATTGAAAATTTGCTGAAACAAAAAAAAAAAAAAAACTGCATGCCAGCACAAAATAAGTGAACTAGCAAAAAATTTCAAAAAATACTCATGGAAACAAAGTCTAATAAACACATTATTTTAATGGAAATTAAATATCAAGTTAAATAAAAAAAGTCATCATCATTAAACAAATGCCACCATTATCAGCTATACAAAACCCCTAAAACAAACCCTAGACCTACACCTTGACCATCAGATAATTCTAACTCAAGCCAACAGTCTCTCCCCCAACCCACGAAAAATATCTAAATGGTCAAACAGGAAAATTTTTCAATTTACTGCAAAAAAAAAAAAAAATACAACGAAATTTTTGCTTAAAATAAGCAGAAACCTTAAAACCTAAACTTAAACACAGGGTATGGGGGCGGGGCAAGGACCTTTAGTAATACTAACGCCCCATTTATAACGCCAAACATCATCATAATTTCTGTATATTTTACAAACACAGCAAAACAAAAAAAAAAAAAAAACAATAAAAGTCCTTTTTCTACTCTCACACACATACACACCAACACCTACAAACAAAGAATAAAGCAGCAAAAACAACAATAACAACATATCCCTGTACTTGGGTTAAACCCAGTATTTTACTTTAGTCTTTCAGTGTTTTTAATGGTGGTAGACAGAAGCAAGAGTAGCAAGAAGCAAAAGACACAATCACATACATATACATATAAATACTAACAAACCTCCTCCTCTCTCATGGCCCACTGCTGCAATGGTAACATATTTGACCTTAGACACATCAACGTTGTATTTAAAAATCATCAACAACAGCAAAAACAACAGAGAACACACCAACAAAAAAAAAACAACCAGCAACAACAGCCAAATGCGACAACAACCACAAATAGCAACAACACAACAACAATAATCAGCATAATAATAAGAATATGAAAATCAGCAAAAATAACGACAACAACAAAGACAGGAAAAAATAAATGGAGAGCACACACCGTTAAATTAAAAAGTGGCCATATTTGAATGGGAACTATGTCCAAAATTTCCAAAGTTAAATATCTTGTAAAGTAAATAATTTTAGACTAGACTATAGACTAGACTACACTATAGACCAGACAATAGACTAGCCTATAGACTAGACTATAGACTAGCCTATAGACTAGACTATAGACTAGATTATAAACAAGACTATAGGCTAGACTATAGGCTAGACTATAGGCTAGACTATAGACTACACTATAGACTAGACTACAGACTAGACTATAGACTACACTATAGAATACACTATAGACTAGACTATAGACTAGACTATACACTAGACTATAGACTAGACTATAGACTAGACTATAGACTAGCCTATAGACTAGACTATAGACTAGACTATAGACTAGACTAGACTATAGACTAGACTATAGACTAGACTATAGACTAGACTATAGACTAGACTATAGACTAGACTATAGACTAGACTATAGACTAGACTATAGACTAGACTATAGACTAGACTATAGACTAGACTATAGACTAGACTATAGACTAGACTATAGACTAGACTATAGACTAGACTATAGACTAGACTATAGACTAGACTATAGACTAGACTATAGACTAGACTATAGACTAGACTATAGACTAGACTATAGACTAGACTATAGACTAGACTATAGACTAGACTATAGACTAGACTATAGACTAGACTATAGACTAGACTATAGACTAGACTATAGACTAGACTATAGACTAGACTATAGACTAGACTATAGACTAGACTATAGACTAGACTATAGACTAGACTATAGACTAGACTATAGACTAGACTATAGACTAGACTATAGACTAGACTATAGACTAGACTATAGACTAGACTATAGACTAGACTATAGACTAAGACTAATTCTGTTCTAGTTCTGTTCTAGTTCTGTTCTAGTTTCATTTCTAGTTCAGTTTCTAGTTCTGTTCTAGTTCTGTTCTAGTTCTGTTCTAGTCTGTTCTAGTTCTGTTCTAATTTTGTTCTAAAGTTCTGTTATAGTTTCTGTTAGTCTAGTTCTGTTCTAGTTCAGTTCTAGTTCTGTTCTAGTTCTGTTCTAGTTCTGTTCTAGTTCTGTTCTAGTTCTGTTCTAGTTCTGTTCTTAGTTCTGTGCCTAGTTCTGTTCTAATTCTGTCTAGTTCTGTCCTAGTCTGTTCTAGTTCTGTCCTATTCTGTTCTAGTTCTGTCTAGTTCTGTTCTAGTTCTGTTCTAGGTCTGTTCTAGTTCTGTTCTAGTTATGTTCTAGTTCTGTTCTAGTTCTGTTCTAGTTCTGTTCTAGTTTCTGTTCTAGTTCTGTTCTAGTTCTGTTCTAGTTCTGTTTCTAGTTCTGTTTCTAGTTCTGTCTAGTTCTGTTCTAGTTCTGTTCTAGTTCTAGTTCTGTTCTAGTTCTGTTCTAGTGCTGTTCTAGTTCGGTTCAGTTCTGTTCTAGTTCTGTTCTAGTTCTGTTCTAGTTCTGTTCTAGTTCTGTTCTAGTTTGTTCTAGTTCTGTTCTAGTCGTTTCTGTTCTAGTTCTTTTCTAGTTCTGTCTAGTTGTTCTAGTTCTGTCTAGTTCTTGCTCTAGTTGCTTAGTTTGCTCTAGTTCTGTTCTAGTTCTGTTCTAGTTCTGTTCTAGTTCTGTTCTAGTTCTGTTCTAGTTCTGTTCTAGTTCTGTCTAGTTCTGTTCTAGTTCTGTTCTAGTTCGGTTCTAGTTCTGTTCTAGTTCTGTTCTAGTTCTGTTCTAGTTCTGTTCTAGTTCTGTTCTAGTTCTGTTCTAGTTCTGTTCTATTTCTGTTTTAGTTCTGTTTCTAGTTCTGTTCTAGTTCTGTTCTAGTTCTGTTCTAGTTCAGTTCTAGTTCAGTTCTAGTTCAGTTCGAGTTCAGTTCTAGTTCAGTTCTAGTTCAGTTCTAGTTCAGTTCTAGTTCTGTTCTAGTTCTGTTCTAGTTCTGCTCTAGTTCTGCTCTAATTCTGCTCTAGTTCTGTTCTAGTTCTGTTCTAGTTCTGTTCTAGTTCTGTTCTAGTTCTGTTCTAGTTCTGTTCTAGTTCTGTTCTAGTTCTGTTCTAGTTCTGTTCTAGTTCTGTTCTAGTTCTGTTCTAGTTCTGTTCTAGTTCTGTTCTAGTTCTGTTCTAGTTCTGTTCTAGTTCTGTTCTAGTTCTGTTCTAGTTCTGTTCTAGTTCTGTTCTAGTTCTGTTCTAGTTCTGTTCTAGTTCTGTTCTAGTTCTGTTCTAGTTCTGTTCTAGTTCTGTTCTAGTTCTGTTCTAGTTTTAGTTCTGTTCTAGTTCTGTTCTAGTTCTGTTCTAGTTCTGTTCTAGTTCTAGTTCTGTTCTGGTTCTGTTTCTGTTCTAGTTCTGTTGTAGTTCTGTTCTATTTCTGTTCTAGTTCTGTTCTAGTTATGTTCTTCTTCTGTTCTAGTTCTGTTATAGTTTTGTTCTAAACTATAGACTTAACTATTAGACTAGACTATAGACAACAGTATCGACTAAATAGAAATTCCCACATTGTAGTTATTCCAACGTACAACCATATGGCAGCCCTTGTTGTGTAAAAAGGCCAACAACAGCTAAACTAACAAAAACAAGAAGATACCAAAACGTATTCACTAAGAAAACAACCAACACCCACCACCACCCTTGACAATCACTCATAAAACGACAGACAAACAATTAAAAAGACTTTTTTTGTTTGATTTTGAATGAATTCTACTGGAATTTTATTTTCATTCACATTTTCATCAAATGTATGGAATTTTTATAAAATAAAAATTTATTCAAACAAATTTTTCAAATTCTCTGAAAAGCCATATGTTTAATGTTTTTTTCCCCAAATGTTTAATTATATTTTGTTTAGCACAAAAGTTAATAAATTATTTGTTTTTATGGAATAAGACAATAAAATCAAATAATTTTTATAGTTTTTTTTTTTGTATTTTTTGCCATAACAAGAATTTTTCAAATAATTTTCCCATATTTTTGTTATTGCTGTAGTTGATATCGTTTAGATATTTATTCATTGCTTTTAATCAAACAAATTATTGTTGTTGCTGTTGTCGTTGCTGAAATTATGTGTGTGTGTGTGTGTGTGTGTGTGTGTGTGTTTGAGATTTCCATTCTTTTTGTGTTCATGGATTTGTGTATACACTTTTAAAAGAAAAACAAAATAAGTAAATCTCTTGTTATTTATTATCTCTATAATTAAATTTATGGTGCTTTCTAATGCTCATTTACTCATTTTCTTTCTAAAAAAAATACTCACTCTCTCATTTGAACTCTTTTGTAGATTCCTTTTTATCAACTGCACCTCTAACCCCCTAGATATAGCACCAAAAAGCTTACTTTGCAGAAAAACTTTGTGACAGAGTGTTTGTGTATGTTTTTTGCAGGAGTTGTTTACCGCTATATCTATTCTCTCCCTCTCTTTCTCTGTCATTCATTTTTTTATCACATAAACAAATTCTGTGATATATTGCCATTGTTGCCATATTGTTTATATAAACAAACAAAACATGGCATATGTTTTGTTTTTGCAAATTTTTTTAATATTTATTTGTTAAAAATCCTTGAAATTTTAACATGTTGTTATTGTTCTTTTTTTTTGTAGATAAAACAAATATGTAGCATAAAACACTAAAAAAAGTTCTAACTACGTCAGTTGGTTTTATGTTCATGGACTATGGGTAACTTTTTTTTGACAATATTAAATCACAAAATGCATAATGTCAAAAAAGGAAATGATATTAAAGATTAAACAAAGGATTTGCAAAAGAATATATATTTTTGAGGGAAAAATATTAAATTAAGAAAACCATTAAAT